CTAGTACAAGCAGCTACACACACTATCCACCAGACGGGTGGATAAGGAAGGTGGTCCTGGCGCACAAGGGAAGTATGTATCGATGCGTATCGCCACTGCATGTAGAACACGTGTGTGTGGATACTGATCAGGGATACTGAGAATCCTTGGGACCATCGATACAATGTCGAGTAATCAGTTTTTAGAGGCAAGCAGAGTGCTGATAATAAACCACTATATTCATGAAACTGCTGCGGAGGCCAAAAGGAAACGACATATCAATCGAGTATATAAGTTCCAGTTAAAAAGCTCTCTCTTCAGAAGCACACTGCTACATCTTTAACTGATTCTATCAGATGAAAAGATGAATGGGGTGAGAAGTGGTAAACAGTGGATAGCATCATTAAAGACTTCGTGGAATCTTCCAATCTGATTCCCATTTAGCTGGACATTAAATACGCGAGTTTTAGCAGAGCACGTCTATTTACAGCTCAAACAAACACCTATCTGGGTAAATGGATGTGCAATTAGCGGCCCATATTGTACCATTCTGACACGGAAGTGAATCAATAACAAATATGCTCGTAAATCTCGAGCACGTTCCGTCAAATCTGTAAACCGAATGCTCATCACATTATCCAAAAAAGGCAGAGACCTTTTCTTCTCTGATGGTGGAGTTACTAGTTGTTATTCCACTGCTTTGAATCCTTTTTCAAATCACGGCGTGTGTGCTTTATGTGGAAAGAAAGCCCAAATTGACGCAGGTCTCAGGCGTTTGCTACTTTGGTGAAACTCCACGAGCACGATGTGGTGTTGACAAACCAAGGATCTTACCCAGGGAGCATCTGAGATTCGAACCCACGACCAACTGATCTTCGCACGTTTAAGGGAGGCAACTCTGCACACCGAGTTACGTCGCCATAGTCGACACAGTTTTAATGATAAATTATTGTGCAGAGTTGCGTCCCTTGGGCACACCAGAAGCCTATGATTGTGGGTTCGAATCCCGGTTCGCCTCGATTATGTTTCTAGGTTTGTCAGCACCATACCCGTGCTCTTGGGTTTCACCGAAGTGGGTAAACGTCTGAGATCTGCATGACTTCGGGCTTTCCTCCCACATTAAGCTGACACGCCGTGATATAACTGGAATACTGTAAAAGCTGCGTTACACTCACGCACTCACGCACTCACGCACTCACTCACTATTGAATGAACGAACGTATGGCATGTGTCAATTTGCGTGTATATATAATCAATTTATATTTTCTGCTCGGGGATCCCTCTGGTTCAGTCTGAGTCCCTTTCTGTCAGCTACACAGTAGGCTCAATGAATGTTTATAAGAACATACCTCATCGATTTAAAGGCCTACAACATTTGAGTTTCGGTAGATTTTCAAGATGAAGGTCTACTGTTCTCAAAATCTTGTATGGCCTCATTAGACTCCAAAACTGACTGGCATCGTCGTCCCATTGAAGCAATCAGATCCCGAATTGTGGCCTGGGAGTGTTCACCCACTCTGCCTGCAGTGCTTGTGCCAACTGTCGGGAATTATGTGGTTGTTGCTGACGTGCTCGCAGTCGTTGATCCAGTGCATCCCATAAATGTTCGATTGGGTTTTAAAAAGGAGACCTGTACGGCCTGTTGTCAGTCTTGTCGTGTGAGGTCGGGCGATGTCTTGTTGGAAAATGTCGTTCGCGGGAATGTGACAGTCGGGTTGTGTTTTCTAATTATGGAACTTCGAAAAGGTTAACACGAGGTATCCCGAAATACAGTTCGGGGCTGTTCAACTGAATCCTTCCAAATCATCGTCTATCTCTTGCTTCAGTGGGTTGGTTAAACATTTAAACGGAAGATACTTTGCATAGCCCTTGGGAAGTACTGCCATACAATCTCGGGCATCTCCAGGATGCTTTTTGTTCAGTTTTAAAATTGTTAATCGAGAACGTTGTCAAAATATTATTCAAAGCGTGTTCAGGAATGGAAGTCGCCAGCATGGAACTAGGGGCCGAATAGCTCGAGGACTAGAGACTTGAGGCAAACATAATTCCGCCTCGTCGTGTCTGAATCCAGAGCAAGCCTCGACCCCCTATGCTTTCGCTATTACGGCTTTCTAGGTTTGTCAGCACCATACCCGTGCTCGTGGTTTTCACCAAAGTGGTAAATGTTCAAGACCTGCATAAATTCGGACTTTCCTCCCACATTAAGTTGACACGCCGTGATGATATAACTGGAATTCGCCCTCGCTCACTTACTAACTCTAACCGAAAAAAGCGTTGCGGCGGGGTCGCATGGCCAAACACTCAGGTTCGTTTGGAGATCAAACAAACCCACGGGGCCAGCCGACAAGTCTCACAGACGTGATAGATTAGAAAAAACTGTTTACTCCTTGACGGAATTAAGACATGCAGGCGAACTCAACCCTGGCTAGATCCACATCCCGCGGGGTGTTTCGTAACACGAAAATAAAGTACACGTTACTATGCAACGCGAATGGATTTTCTGTAATACTCCAATGAAATCTTCACAAAATATTTACGTGAAAGCATGGAAAGCAGAAATTGAATCAATTTGAAAGAAGTCGGCTTTGATCGTTTTCAAACAGTCTAATATGATAAAGTGATATATTTACGAAGAACATTATACACGCTTACGAGGGTTTGTTTGTTTGTTGTTTAATGCCGCACTCAGCAATATTACAGCTGTATGACGGCGGTCTGTAAATAATCGAGTCTGGACCAGACAATCCAGCGATTGACATCATGAGCATTGATCCACGCACTTAGGATACGATGACATGCATCAACCAAGTCAGCGAGCCTGACCACCCGATCCCGTTAGTCACCTCTTACGACAAGCATAGTCGACTTTTACGGCAAGCATGGGTTGCTGAAGTCATATTCTACCCCGGATCTTCACGCATATAACGTTTATCAAAATAATTATTTTCCGATTAAATTTTAAACAATATAAGGTGACAAATACAGGGTATTTTATGACATCCGGTGAAACGATATACACCAATTACTATCTTTTATATTGTATTTTTATATGAAAATGTTAATTTCTGAGGGACCCGTGAAGGTCCGCGTTAGAATAGGTCTTCAGCAACCCATGCTTGCCGTAAGAGTGAGTGAGTCTGGTTTTACGCCGCTTTCAGCAATATTCCAGCAATATCACGGCGGGGGATACCAGAAATGGGCTTCACACATTGTACCAATGTCGGGAATCGAACCCGCGGGTGTTCGGCGTGACGAGCGAACGCTTTAACCACTAGGCTACCAGACCGCCCCCTTGCGACTAAAGGGATCGGGTGGTCAGGCTTGGTGACTTGGTTGATGCATGTCATCGTATCCCAAATGCGTGGAACGATGCTCATGATCTCGATCACTGGACTGTCTGGTCCAGACTCGATTATTTTAAGAACGCCGTCATATAGCTGGGACTTTGCTGAGTGCGGCGTTGTTTAACGCCGCACAAACAAACAAGCAAATAATTTCTAACGTACAGTTCCTGTTTGAACACAGTTTTAATTGGCTTACTCCACTTATTTAATTATTACTATATGGTGCATGTCACATGACTACCGGTGGCACTGGATACAGTCAGTTATGACTATCACATACGTGTACAAACTGCAACCTCGCCAACTCGAAGCCGTCGAAAATAATTCGAGCTATCCGCACTTCGATATAAGCGGGGTGACAGTATGAACCCATGCTGCCAGTACGGACCATGAAGCTACAGCGTTGTTACACGCGATATATCGAGTCAATGGCCGGTTGTTCCACCAGAACTGGCTTATAACGTGACCACATATACCCACATGAATAAGCACCGTAAATTGGTGATCATATTGCAAACGCTGCCATACGGTCATTATTGGTATGAAAAACACCCTCAACGAAGGCTGTAGTTAATGACAGAGCTACAATACCACAAATGCCGATATTATGACCGTGGAACGTAGCATTTAATTAACACAATATATGGGCGGCCAAGGGACAAAAGTACGCAATAATAGTCAAATGTTACGAATAAGGAATGAATGTTACAAAACAAGAAATAAAGGTCATTATGTATACAAATAATGTACTCAAAACATTGGTCCTTTATTTCAACTTTGAATTTTTTACCGAATGGCCGCCCATAGACGATGGTAACTGTCCGTATTGAATAAATTACAGTAAACTACGGTTATAAAGAACTCAAAGAGACCACTAAATTTAGTTCGTTATAAACGTAGTTCCTATGAGCACATATATACAGCATATATAATAGCATATGGCCGGGGCCAAAAACAGTTCGATATATCCGCCAGTTCGTTATAAGCGTGTTCGTTATAAACGTAGTTTACTGTATATAAGCCAGGCAATCTGACCTGATCAGTAACAACCGACTGCAGTGCCTATATAGCCTGGCATTCCATGTAAAGTTCCAGCCAAAGCCTTCAGCGTTCATTTGGTCTGCGGGTTACTTGGCCGGTCAATAATTCTGGCTCGCTTAAATTATATGCGGTCAGATTCACGTACGCCATTTCTATAGTATGGCTTAACCTACGTCGGTGGTTTGCACTATGCATGACTTCACTAAAACTACAAATAATTGGAAAGAACTTCGTTGATTGGCAGGTGTACATTACATGATTGAAAACAACTGGACCGGGTGTCCTTACTGCCTTCACAATACGTGCATTGATCTATGCTTGATTCGTTCACTGATCAATATCACATGAACCAGTTCAGAACGCGGTCAGACAGTACAACATGAGAAAAAACACCCTGATGATCGAACGAAGCATGAAGCATGAACCCCACCTAACAAATATACATCAGAAAATGTGAACGAGGACACACGGCCTTCTGCCTCGTCTGCGAGTTTGTTAGTATTCAATGAACTAGTTCCATTTCCCGGTGCATAAACACATGGCGATCCGCGGCGTGTGACTAATTTCGATAAAGCAGATGTTTAAGGTATATTTGTCTTATTATAACACACACTATTCATTTACCAGTGTACTTACAATTAAAGGCATACTCTGAAAACTCGCTGCCATCAAGAGCGACCACCACCACACGAGAGCCACTTGTATCCGACTTCTCCGCCATGTTTAGTGTAAGTCAATTCTACGCTGAGCGATATTCCCTCGCTATACCGCTAGCGCGATAAGCGGACTGTTGAATTTACAAGGCTCAGCTTGTGAATGCACAGGAACTCGATGATAGCGTGTATAACATAATATATTCGTATAAAAAAAACAATCACACTGTGTGTGAATGATATTCAAGCCTTCTGCAGTATCTCACGTAAATGGACACGATTCACACATTGCGACAAAACTTGGATAACTGCTTTGGACGTATTCTTCTTGTGTGTTGATGTAGGATCGCCACAACAATTACTCCCGTAAAGCACCCCAATAAAGATTAATATTGCATGTTCAACATCAAAATAGCGTTGTCTTCAATGTGCATGACGAAATATTCAGGACGAATTGTCTCGTATCTTTCAGTACATATTCGGGATGGGGGTGAGGTAGTGGTGGGGGTGGGGGTTGGGGTGGGTGGTGTTTGTGGCCGGCGGGGATATCTCCGAAGGCTTGTTACCGGAATATTCCTGTATGCAAAGGTAGCTAACCTATTTCTACGGTTATTATTTTTGAAAGTCGCAAAATATTCTTAGATCATGTCGGTCACTGACTCAAGACACACAATTTTTGTTATTTATTTATTTACTTATTTACTTTTTTATTTAATTTTTATTTCTTTTCCTTTTTAAAACATCACAAGACCCCTGCAATATACTAAATGGTCGCCCCCTTGATGTGGGAGAACAAACATGGCGTATGTGGTCTGTGTGTGTCTGTGGCTGGTGTATAAGGCCGCACTCATCAATATTTCAGCTATAATTATGACGGCGGTCTGTAAATAATCGAGTCTGGACCAGACAAACCAGTGACTGACATCATGAGCACTGATCCACGCAATTGGGATACGATGACATGCATCAACCAAGTTACCAAGCCTGACCACCCGATCCCGTTAGTCGCCTTTTACGACAAGCACAGTCGCCTTTTACGGCAAGCATGGGTTGCTGAAGATCTATTCTCCCCTTGATCTTCGTGGGTTGTTGTTTGTTATAGCATATATACAGCAAATGGACGGGACCAACAAACTGTTCGTTATGTCTATCAGTTCGTTATAAGCGTGTTTGTTATCAACGTAGTTTACTGTACTTATCGGTGACACCCCCTACCCCCACCCCCAATTAGGCATACGGCCCTAGTGACACACGGGTTAAAAAAACATAGGATATGGTTGATCAACCATTCTCAACATTAACCTCTTATCTCCAAATACGTATGCTTTATTTTATCGAATGTGCACTTTGAATAAGATTTCCAGATCGAAAACAACAACCGTTGGTGTTTATCGAAGGGGCACCATCTTGTTTTCCAAATACAGTAAACTACGTTTATAACGAACTGTGGGGTATATCGAACTGTTTTTGGTCCCGGCCATATGCTGCTATACATGCTGTATATGTGCTAATAACGAACTACGTTTATAACGAACTGAATTAAGTGGTCCCTTTGAGTTCGTTATAACCGTAGTTTACTGTACCGGATTTTGTTTTCGGTATGGAATCCTTATTCAAACTTCGCTTTCTATAAAACAAAGTATACATATATTTAAAATCGGATTCCAACCTTTTGAATAAAATGGGCTGACATCATTGGTAGGAAAAGGTAAGTGAAATGTCAGCTTCATTGGTCCAGTGGATTCTGAGGAGATGTTTACTACATAGGTCATGCATCGCATAACTTCACCTGACAAAATGAAAAATATGCGTTAGAAATCATAACACTTCAAGCGGTCTTGTTGTTTTGAGTCGCGAAAACAAAATATTGACATACAAATGTCAAACTATTATGACTTTTAATAGGGTCAAAATACGACATTTGTGACACGTGTGTCCTTTGTCTGACAACTAACGTTAGTTTCAAAGCGTCCATAGAGGTAACCTGTCATTGTGACAGCTGTCGATGACGGCGGGTTGGTGCGTTCTGGCGGTCAGTTCACACACGAGTTCGTCCATATTATTGTAAACAATATTGAATGAAAATTTGAAAAAAATAACAAAAAAAGATTAAAACAACTAGCCAGATATGCACAACTGGTAAACCCTTAACGCAATTTGAGATTGAGTGGATGTACAAGTTTGATAAAAAAAAAAAGAGACTCGAAGATTAAGGATGTAAGAAAATAACACCACAAAAACATGCGATTTTTGGTCGCGTTTGGTGACTTTCTACGCAATATTGCCATAAAATAAGGGAACATTTTGAACATTTTTGAACCAGTGCTTCTCAATTCATGATTGTCTAACATGCTGATTGTGTGACACTCCGATGATAAGACAAACTGATTATGTGACATTCCGGTTGTGTCACATACCGACGGTGTGAAATGCTGAATATGACATGGTGAGGTGAGGTGAAATGGGTTTAACGTCGCGTCCAAGATTATTGCACTTATATAGCGACGTGCATGCACGTGTGCTTGTGGCTGCTTGTGTTAGTCCGGACTGATGTCGATTTTATAGTGCTACCCCAGAGATACCATGGGGCAGTTTTAACATGAATTCCCCCACTCAGACAAAGTATACTGAGTCCGAGCCGACCAGTCCTTGTTTTAGCCCCTTAATGTCGAGCGCCAGACAGGGTAACAACAAGTACCTTCTTTTAACGTCTTTATCGAACTCCGGACCTTCCACGGAGGCGGTCTGATGATAGTGATAGTGACATACTGATTGTGTGACATGCTGATTGTGTGACATGCTCATTGTGACATGCTGATGGTGTGACATGTTGATGGTGTGACATGTTGATGGCGTGACATGTTGATGGCATGACATGTTGATTGTGTGACAAACTGATGGTGTGACATGTTGATGGCGTGACATGTTGATTGTGTGACAAACTGATGGGCGTGACATGTTGATTGTGTGACAAACTGATGGTGTGACATGTTGATGGCATGACATGTTGATTGTGTGACAAACTGATGGCATGAAATGTTGATGGCATGACATGTTGATTGTGTGACAAACTGATGGCGTGACAGGTTGATGGTGTGACATGTTGATTGTGTGACAAACTGATGGCATGAAATGTTGATGGTGTGACATGTTGATGGTGTGACATGTTGATTGTGTGACAAACTGATGGCATGAAATGTTGATGGCATGACATGTTGATTGTGTGACAAACTGATGGCATGACATGTTGATTGTGTGACAAACTGATGGCATGAAATGTTGATGGCGTTACATGTTGATTGTGTGACAAACTGATGGTGTGACATGTTGATGGTGTGACATGTTGATTGTGTGACAAACTGATGGGCGTGACATGTTGATTATGTGACAAACTGATGGTGTGACAAACTGATGGGCGTGACATGTTGATTGTGTGACATGTTGATGGCATGAAATGTTGATGGCGTGATATACTGATGGGGTGACATGTTGATGGTGTGACATGTTGATGGCATGACATGTTGATTGTGTGACAAACTGATGATGTGACATGTTGATGGTGTGACATGTTGATTGTGTGACAAACTGATGATGTGACATGTTGAGGGTGTCACATGTTGATTGTGTGACAAACTGATGGTGTGACATGTTGATTGTGTGACATGTTGATGGCATGAAATGTTGATGGCGTGATATACTGATGGGGTGACATGTTGATGGTGTGACATGTTGATGGCATGACATGTTGATTGTGTGACATACTGATGATGTGACATGTTGATGGTGTGACATGTTGATTGTGTGACAAACTGATGATGTGACATGTTGATGGTGTGACATGTTGATTGTGTGACATGTTGATGGTGTGACATGTTGATGGTGTGACATGTTGATGGTGTGACATGTTTGATATGCTGATGGTGTAACATGTTGATAGTGTGACATACTGATGGTGTGACATGTTGATGGTGTGACATGTTTGATATGCTGATGGTGTGACATACTGATGGTCTGACATGTTGATAGTGTGACATGCTGATGGTGTGACGTTGATGGTGTGACGTTGATAGTGTGACATGTTGATGGTGTGACATGTTGATGGTGTGACGTTGATAGTGTGACATGCTGATGGTGTGACATGTTAATGGTGTGACATGCTGATGGTGTGACGTTGATAGTGTGACATGCTGATGGTGTGACATGTTGATAGTGTGACATGCTGATGGTGTGACATGCTGATGGTGTGACATGTTGATGGTTCGACACGTTGATGGTGTGACATGATGGTTCGACATGTTGATGGTGTGACATGTTGATGGTTTGACATGCTGATGGTGTGACGTCGATGGTGTGACATGTTGATAGTGTGACATGCTGATTGTGTGTCATGTTGAATGTTGACTTCAGGTTGCATTGGTCACACTGTCAGTAAAAGGAAGCCATGGAGCATCCATGTTTGGGTCTGGGCAAGAAGCCTTCAATCAAGGATGTGCTACTGACATATGCAGAATGAGAATGATAATGTCATGTACTAGGCCTCAAGCTAGTTCAGGCCTGGAAGTATTTCAGTAGGACTTCATTACTATCTTTTAGAGGTTGGCTAGTTTCAACTCGTCAATGCTGCTGATGTGCACAGTCCAACGTCATAATATTGGATGAAGTTCAGTAAAATCCTAATATTTGCAATGGAAATTCTAATGAAGTATCTCATTAAATAAAAACATACAAGGAAATTTATGGTTGAAAAATATAAACCCTCCATTTCTGAAACCAGGTGATTGGTTTCATGGGTAATGAATTATATACCCATTAGTTATCAATTATTAATTATTTCAATCAATCTGAAAATAATTGTTTCAATGAGCCTGGCAAAGTGGGGAGGTATAGTCAGTCAACTGTACGCATTCCGCTAACCACATAACACACATGCATCACAACGAGCAACTTTCTTTAACCTTTTTGTGGGGGACATACGGATGAGATCCCTGGCAAATGAAATGGAAAGGATTTGTAGCAATGCAAGGGGAGACAATCTGAAAATAAGTTATTCCCCTTTGACATAGTGCTCAAGGTCATTAAATCATTTTGATTACTTCTGCTTGTGTGTTTGCTGTTTAATGTTACACCAAGATAATCCAGTGATGGACATCATGAGCAACGATCCATGCCATCAGGTACGATGACATGCCAAGTCACCCAGTCTGACCACCCAATTCGTTAAGTCTTACAACCAGCATAGGTTGCTAGAAACAAATTCTAACCATGATTCCCCATCAGGCCTTGCTGCTTGTGACAGTCACTGTTTATGGTTTGTTTCTTGTTTAACGCCGCACTCAGCAATATTCCAGCTATATGGCGGCGGTCTGTAAATAATCGAGTCTGGACCAGACAATCCAGTGATTGAGACCATGAGGAGGGATCTACACAATTGGGATCGATGACATGCATCAACCAAGTCAGCGAGCCTGACCAACTAATGCTGTTAGTCGCCTCTTACGACAAGCATAGTTCCTTTTTACGGCAAGCATGGGTTGCTGAAGACCTATTCTACCCCGGGTAACTGTTTCAGGATTCATTCTCAATCACTTATTATGAACACATTAATAATTCAATATAAGATGGAAGAATGCAATTTGCTACAAAATCTGTTCACATATTATTCAACAAAGTGTTCACATTACTACCGAAACCAACTTTGCTGGCCAAAGAATTTTATCTGTAACCTTTCCCTCCTCAAGTTCAAAGTTCAACACTCAATATCATATTTATCAAATAGGCTTGTCTGGCCCAGATCCTATTATTTACAGACCGGGTCATATAGCTGGAATATTGGGTACTGTGGCTTTAAAGAAAATATAAAACAAAAACTTAACCTAGTGACAGACACAACATTACCAACATGTACTGCATCTGTTGGATGGTGACACACTCTGGCTCTGGTGTATCTTCCAGACGCCATCTTCCTGAGGCAAGGGAGTTAACCAACTATAAAGGTCCAGTTTTCCACCCTTGCCGAACTAGGTTGGAGTTTTGGTGTTATATTTTGTCTGGACTAACTAGTCTATGCACAGTCCAAGAACGAAATTGCTGTGGAGATGACGGTTGATTGCAGGATTTGCAAAGCAGGTGTACCGACAACTTAGCGTCTACAGATAATTAATAGAAGGGACATAACTTGTAATACTCACTAGTGGAGCTACAATTGAGCCAAGTAAATTCCAGCTTAGTTCAACAAGGGTTGAAACTGGACTTTTTTCTAGTCCATTAACTCCCTTGCCTCAGGAAAATAGATCCAAATTTTACTTCAAATATTTTCTAAAAGCAATTTCTACTTCATCCTGTTAAGGTCATAATAAATTATTATATTTTAAACCCTGTCAGCCTCCCTCCCAAACACTGAACCACACATTATTTTAGAACTGCAAGTACCGACAGAAGATGAGTGTGTGTCCAGTCTTTCTTGACTTGACAACACACATAATCCCACAAAACATTCATCATATGTGAATCACATTCATCCACAGTTAATGGCCGAAATTCCTTCAAAAAAAGTGTGTATACCAAAATATACACCCTAAAATGAAAACGCCTCTCGTCTCACATTTTTTTAAACTTTTAGATGAGAACCTAATTATTTATTGTGGCCTTGTACAATAACTTTTTGTCATCATCTGAAAATCTGCAAACTTAAAACAAGGTAAATGATAAAAAAATTCAGTTTCATGTAGTCCATATTTAATCAAACTAAATAACCTGACAAACACATGTAAGGGTTCAATAGTTTTCCATGGATTGTAAGTGCGTAGCTATACATTCAACAAGTAAAGATGCCATAACAATAAGTAACGTTGACAGCATGGATACTTATCTTAAAACAAGCCATTAGAGTTACTGATGTAGTTATAATAATTACTCCTTGAAACAGGCATAAAGGATGTTAACATGGTTAAGTTACAATTGCAATATTTTCCTTCTGACAGAACTGAAATACTATACAGTACCTTTCACATAATCACCGGTCAACAAGACAATGAAACATGTCCTCAGTCTGGTCTAGGCCTGACAAAGATCACAAATGTGTCTCACTATAAGCAGTGATAAGATGAACAAATATTTCAGATCATGTGAGAAAGAACACATCAGAGAGTGGTCTCATGATGAAAATCTATTCTGTATAGAAGTTCTAGTGACATCGAGTCTTTAAGCATTATCAGAGAGGGCTGCTACACCAGGGAGAGTCTTTCCTTCCAGCAGCTCGAGACTGGCTCCACCTCCCGTGCTCACGTGGCTGACCTTTTGCTCCGTGTTGAACTTGGCTGCACATGTTGCTGTGTCACCTCCACCGATAATGGTGGTTGCACCACCTTCGGTTGCCATGACAACTGCATCCATCATAGACTGGGTTCCTTTGGCAAAGTTGGGGAACTCAAAAACACCAGGTGGACCATTCCATACAATTGTTTTAGCCCTGCCAATGACTTCAGCGAACTTGGCTGATGATTCGGGTCCCACATCCAAGCCTAAAGATCCAGCCGGAATACCAGATGAGACCGTAGCGTTACCAACATTGGCATTTTCGGCAAACTTGTCAGCTGTAACAAAATCTGTTGGAAGATGGATCTGAACATTATTTTTTGCTGCTTTTTCCATCAGATTGTTAATGATCTTAGCACCCTCTTCATCATACAAGGAGCTGCCAATCTCCATCCCCTTGAGGACCTTGAGGAACGTAAACGCCATTCCACCACCTACGATCATCTCATTAACCTTGTCAAGCATGTTCTCAATCAGCTGGATCTTGTCTGCAACTTTGGCACCACCAAGGATGGCAAGGAATGGTCTCTCTGGGTTATCCAAAGCTTTTGCAAAATAGGTCAGTTCCTTCTTGAGCAAGATGCCTGCTGCTCGCTGAGGGAGTTGACAACCAACCATTGAACTGTGAGCTCTGTGTGCAGTGCCAAATGCATCATTCACATAAACATCGCCTAGTTTAGAGAGGGATGCTCTGAAAGCATCTACTGCACCTTTTTCGGCCTTCACCTTTTTGCCTTCAGAGTCGACGCCTTTTCCTTCCTCTTCTATATGGAACCGTAGATTTTCTAACAAAATGATGGATCCATCAGCCGGATTAGCACATGCCGCCTCCACCTCGCTGCCAACACAGTCGCTTAGGAATGTTATAGACTTTCCAAGAAGCGTTTCCAGCTCTTTGGCGACAGGTGTCAACGAATACTTCTCGTTCCTTTGACCGTCAGGTCGCCCAAGGTGACTCATAAGAACAACGGATTTCGCCCCATTTTCCAGCGCTGACTTGATTGTAGGCAGCGCTGCTACGATTCTCTGGTTGTTGGTGATGTTACCATCCTTGAGTGGTACATTAAAATCAACTCGCATCAACACACGTTTGCCTTTCACATCAATTTTGTCGATGCCGAGCTTGTTGAGTGCCATGATGCTTGTTATGAGTCAAGGGCAAGGTCACTGTGCCGGTTACAAGGACATACTTCATTTATGGTTTTTCTTCCGATATCGTGATTAGTCTTCTGCCAGTTGGAGCATGCAACATATCACTCGTAAAAAATATATATTTTCCAAAATATAATTATTATGGTAAAGTTTCTACCCACTGTCGCCTCAGTTACATTTTCAGTTTGTTGAGTTTAGTTCTCAACTTATTTTTCTCAAAGCACGATTCCAGCATTAATAACAGATCTTATCAATCAGTACATCATTGGAAAAAGAATATGTTTTCAAAATTCAAAACCTTTTGATACAATGAGCTATATTTTCGAAATAAGTATGAACCTTCCCCTCGAAAATGCCCTCATTCAACTGTTGGATGGAATTTCTTATAGGTGGCCTAACGTCACTAACTGAAAAAGGTTAAGTAGTAAGCAGATATTCTTTCATAGTCAGCTGTATGAGAGAAATACTACCAGGCATACAACAACGCACTGATCAACACAATGAACGTTTATCTTCGGTTGGATTCGAACTTGCAACATCTTGATTTGTAGAGCGTCACGCTACCATCTGTGCTGCGGAGATTGTCAATTTTCATAGTCACCATCAGCATCAGCATGGTTTGTTTGTACATTTTTATGTTAATATTGTACCATGATCGTTGCAAGTCCTGGTGGTATAAGTATAATGCAAGTACCTGTAAATCTGATTTGCCCATCTAATTTCAAGCAAATTTCTCAATATCTGGAAAGAAGCCTCGGTTAAACCAATACATAAAATAGGGTAGTGTAAATGAATGTCAAAAGTATAGACAAGTAGCCTAGCCAAAGTTTTTTTGTGTGAAATGTGTATTTAAACACGTATTTCTTTCTTTAGAGATAATGACGTATAATAGAACTTACAATCTGGCTTTATGGCTGAAGATTGTACTGCTTACCAACTTATATATCTGTATATTTTTATTTCAAATGCATTAGATAATGGCGAGGAGGTTAGAGCAGTCTTCTGGCAAATTAGTAAAGCATTTAATAAAGTATAGCCTTAAGGGAAACTATTATAACTAGAAGCATGCGGCGTCCATGGCAGTCTACCTGGATGGTTTCGTGGCTATCTCGAAAATAGGGTACAGAAAGTAATAATATTATTATTATTTTTGACGGTTATGCTTTGGGGCCCAGTTGTTAAGAACCAGGTTATTTTAACGTCAGTTTAACTCCCAACCAACCGTAAAATATTTAACCAAACATGTTTCGGCGGGAGTTCCACAGGGATCGCTCTTAGGGCCCTTACTATTTATGACATACACTAAAAATATTATCGATGGTATCTACAGTAACATTTGTCTCTAGGCGAACGAGACATGTTATCGTAGATGATCAAGATACCACCGCTAATACAATAAATACTGACTTAGATATAATATCTCACATTGGGTAGAAAAATGGCAAGTAAATTTAAATCTAGAAAAGAGTGGGGCAGTATTATTCTCACGTAAGGTTAATTCATGTGCAAAACCGGTATTCTTGTTTAGGATTATACTTCTACTTATAGACTGGACTTCTCATGTGTTGTTAGATGAAACACAAAACAAACAAAGTCTACGTTGAAAACATGTTTAATCCGATTAATGTTTCAAATCAGTATCGGATACGGATTCGCTTTGTTTGTGTACGAGTCATCCAGTTGATCAGATACGGGTGATCCAACATTTGGGCAAGAGTCCACCAAAAACGTTTGGTTACGGATCTCCGTGGGTACGGATTGCCAGTTCCCGCTCATTTCATGTGTTTAGACCCAAGACGTGTTTAGATAGAACACACCAAACGTGCATACCGTTTGGGATTGAAACACATTCCTAAACATGTCTTGTATGTGTTTTTACAGTGTGGTTTAAGTAGTGAATTATACTTATTTAATAAGTGATATTTACTCGTCATCAGCATCTACCTGCAGTATTGCACGTTTTGCCTATATTCTTGCTTCTGTATCATTTCACCTGATTGAATCTGCTTGTTGCTTTAAAAGATGGAGTGAAACCAAATGCTGATTCCCGTGTGGCAGTGTGTGTGTTTAAAAATCAAATAATGGCCCCAGAGACATGAAGAATGTTTGTATAACTGGAAGACGCATGTATATATGTTCAAATGGATGTTTTGACTTACTCCCAGTATAAAAACATGTAAAAAATATAATTAAGTTACTTATATATACACTGATTTGTAGATATATCTACAGAAAATATAGAAAAATTTGTAACTGAAACACGTGGCGGTGCAGTCTTGGGGTTTTCATATGAACAGGACATGAAAGATGGATTAGTACCTAAAAGAAGTATACCGACATTAACACACGCTTATTTCCCCTTGACCACTCTTTCATTCGTGAGTTTGTAATGTTACCAGACTGGGCTCCTTTCTGTTAAAGATCGCGCATTCGGAGAGAAGTACCAGTTAGAAAACAATGCCGGAAGTTTAGTTATTTGCAAACAAACCCACATGTCAACAGAAAAGAAACAAGATGAAATTGCGAGTTAGGATACAGGGCGTGACAAAGACAGTCAGTTTAGGTGACGGCGGTGCGAAGGACGTTACATTTGCCGTGCTGAAGCAGAAAATCACATCAGAACTAGGATTATGTCATGTGTAAGTGTTGTGAATTGTCTTTAGCCAGAAATATCATATGTCATTGTCATTGAAACAAGACACATATAGCATTGACAATCAAGTCTTAAACAAAGCCATGACTAGCAGCATATATCTACATTAACATTGAACTTTTCAAAAACTATTATTTGATCTATCATGATCTATAGGCCTATCTGTATTGAAGGATGATACGGTGAATGACAGAGTTCTGGTATATGAGACGTCGGGATGAGTGATAGGGGCCGGATGAATGTGATTTTGTACCCAAGAAAATAAAACATTATGTATTTCAGTATATAATTATATTTATTTTAACGTTGGCCTACTTTAAGAATACAGTACCACAAACATTTCAAACAAGTGACAATACGCTATGCCGTAATTTGTGGTATTTTTTTGCAAGTCACACCGGCGAAACAATGCCCTGTGACGTCAGGGATCGTCAAGTGTACATAAGCTCCTCCCAGTGATCTATGGTCGAGCCATCAGTTACAAGGCTTCGCTGTAGGGCAGGAGGACAGCTTCTGCCTTTAGGAAGGGTAGATAATGTCGTCCTGTTCGCTGATTGATCCTTCTGTGCTATCCTTCAAGGTCATTAATTGTTAGTCGTGATAGATATGCCATAAACAGTCCAGTTGGATGGTCTCCACAAAGAACTTCTTATCCAAATGGGGGGCACAGGTGGCCCAGTCGTCTGAGGCTCCGCGATTCACTGTGCAGAGTTGCGTCCTTTGGGCACTCCAGAAATCTATGACTCTGGGTTCGAATCCCGGTTTCCCCGATTATGTTTCTAGATTTGTCAGCACCATACCCATGCTCGTGGTTTTCATTGAAGTGGTAAACATCTGAGACCTGCATCACTTCAGGCTTTCCTACCACATTAAGCTGGCACGCCATGATATAACTGGGATAATGTTAAAAGTGGCTTTAAACCCAACTCACTCACTCACTGTTATCCAAATATTGGGACCAGATAAATTGGTTAAACCTATATTAATTGTATTGTTTAGATAAGAAAGTGATAGTAAAGTACTTTAGAATGCTAAAAATAATCATGATAATGTTAATCATGTTAATTAGAAACTAAATCAAGAACAATTTGGGAACAAAATTGCCTCATTTCTTGGGGCTGCTACTTACTTGTAAGGGCAGCTCAGCGCCTTCTTGATTAGATCCGAATGCAACACTATATTTAAATGCTGCACTCTACCCATGAAGATCCGGGTTAGGATAGGTCTTCAGCAACCCATGCTTGCCGTAAGAGGCGACTATGCTTGTCCTAAGAGGCGACTAACGGAATCGGGTGGTCAGACTCGGAGACTTGGTTGATGAATGTCATTGTATCCAAATTGCGTAGATCAATGCTCATGATGTCAATACTCGATTATTGACAGACCACCGTCATACATCTGGAATATTGCTGTACCGGTATATGTTCAAAAACACACAAACAAACAAATCAATGGTGCACTCAGATTACTGGGCATTTGTCATTTTGACCGCCACTCTCTTGTTTGCCATAGGCTTGGAACACAATCATCATGTAACACCTTGTATTTCTACAAAATATCCCCAAGTTTTGTTTTCAGCAAATTATGTTACAATTCATTGAGATATGTCATCAGAGGATCCAGATAAACCAATCAAATAATAACCTTGCTGGTGAATCAGATCACTGGTTGACACTTTCAAGATAAGATCCATCTTTTAAATGAGAAAAGTACTAATGTAAGAAAAAACATAAGAGATTTAAGTAGAACACTTCCAATTTTTGTACATTTCAAGTTTATTGCCTTTAACATAGAAAATGGGTCCGAAAGTTTGTAATATTGCCACCATATTGAAAAGACAACATGGGTTACCTCCCTTGCCTTGTGATCTCAAGGTGTACTGAGTGTGATAATAACATTTACAGTCAGTTTGGCTCCAAATGAGAACGATGATTTGCAAAAAAACTCAAAATCAGGAATAATCTATTAAATGTCAATACGGTTCACGGAAATGAATACCCTGTACCCAACAATATCTGCTGTTTGTTATTTTTATTCCGTGGAAACAGGAAACAGTTGTTTCGGCAGACTTTATGATGATGCGGGCTGTGCCTGAGAACCAAGACTATTATTTTTTTTAGCCTAAGCCAATATTGTTTATATGTTATCCAATAGAACGTGTTTTAAACTGTATAAATGATAAGGAAGAGAATATATGGATGTCAACTTATTTATTATGAGGAACACAACGTTTCAGAGTATATGCTTTATCATACCTGATGAAGGAGTAAGCATATACTCCGAAACATTGTGTTTGATAAAATTTGTTTTTAAATGACTGCATTCAAGACTCATTTGTGAAAATATCGACTTGGTAAAAAAATGCTGATGTGATGTTAAATTCTAACTCACTGACTGACTTATGTATGATCATGTGTGATCAGTTCAAATATGTGTACCTGTTATATGTCAGATCTTACAACAAGCATGACATGTTCTTGTTTTTTTTCCACAGATCTTTTGCCCTAAGTTTGAACAAGAAAGACATTCTAGAAGGTGACGAAACAGTTCTAGATGACTTTGGTATTGTGTCAGGAGATCTCATCCATGTCTTGGTGGAGGAAGGAGCTTCGACCAGTCAGCCAAGGGAGGTTACTCCTACAAATCAACCAAGGGAGGTTACTCCTACAAGTCAACCAGGGGAGGTTACTCCAGCCACCAGTCATACCAGTACACTGTTCACCAGTGCCTCTAATGTGGATTCAAGATCAGACAGGTCTGAAGATCTAGATGCTTCAAGTGCAGATGATCCCATGGAAGGAAGCAGCAATATGGGAGGAAGCAGTGATATGCTTCCCATGGAGAATGATCCAGTTGTGAATCGGTGCTTAAGCGAGCCACTACAGTGTTGTGAGTCAACGACTGATGAGGTTCCCGTCTTACTGGCTCACTTATATGAGTCTGTTCAATGTGAAGATCAGAATGACTTCTTGTGGGTTGTGATACACACTTTAATGTTGGAGGCAGGATTCAAACCCACTCAGGTACAGCAACCAGTCTAACTGCTACGCTAACAGTTTGGGGGTAATGTAGCCATGTCTTGTTTCTTGGAAACTGGTAGTCTTCTGTAGGATAGGAAAATTTCTGTCAATGTAAATTCAGACAATGTAATTTACACTGTTTAAAGAAAGGCAGCAGTTTGCCGTGCAGAGTCGCATACCTTGTGTGTGCAAGGAACCTATGATAGTGGGTTCCAAAACCCAGCTTCACCCTGACAATGTGTCTTGGTTTATCGCCACCATACCTGTTGTCGTGGGTTTCACATGTTAAGTGTCTAAGACCTGCATAACTTTGGGATTCCTCCCACATTAAGCTGACACGCTGTGACATAACTGGAATACTCTCCAAAACTCCCTCCCTCACTTATTCATTTCATGGGGGGCACGGGTGGCCCAGTCGTCTAAGGCGCCGCAATTCGCTGTGCAGAGTTGTGTCCCTTGGATACGCCAGAAACCTTTGATTGTGAGTTTGAATCCCGGTTTCTAAGTTTGTCAGCACCATACCCGTGCTCGTGGGTTTCACCAAAGTGGTAAACGTCTGAGACCTGCATCACTTCGGGCTTTCCTACCACATTAAGCTGACACACCGTGATATAACAAATAATGTTAAAAGCGGTGTTAAACCTCACTCACTTAGTCACTATTTCATGACTCATTAATTGCCTTCGTTTCACTGCTCCTTGGAAAAGTTCACCGGTTGGGGGTTTGTGCTAACAATACAAGGATAAGGTAAAATAAGGACCCTTGAGCCCTTGTCATGTTTAGTGAAGATTTTAGAAATCATTATGAAGTTACCATGGTTATCATATGTGTTCATATAATTGAGAATAAGAATAAGACTTCTTTTCAACACTTGTGTTATTTTTGGACAACACCAAATACAGCTAAAATGTGTCAAAAACTTCCAAGGATTTCGGTTGGAGTTTTTCTAATATTTGAACTTGTGCAAGTCTTTGGCCCAAGTTGATTTTCCAAGGAGATGTAGATAAAGATGAAACAAAAACATCAAATAATAATTATGTTGAGATGAGCTTGTTATGCTCATAGTTAGATGTTCTCTTGAAGTTCAGAAAATTAGCCTTACTTTTCACTCAATTTAGCCATATGCACTGCTTGATCATGCAAGTCCAAAACTTGCCACAATTTTTTTAGAAGAAAAATGTAGGTCACATGAGCATGTTCGATAATGTGCATAAAAATATTTTATCATACTTGATTCTTTAATAAATTTGAAAGTAAACTTAATAACATAACATACATGTATTGTCAATGATTCTGAAGTGTCCAGCTTGTTATGTTCCAGGGTGATGACAGTGGCAGTTCAATGCCAGACAACTGGAGGCAGCCAGCACTCTACAACACCAGGTACCGTCTCCCGGAGTCTGACGGCGTGGTCAGCGCAGTGACAGGAGTAGTGATGGGGTCATTCCTCATTGTACACGGTAGGTAAACACTTTTATTTCGTGTTAGAAACAGCCGAGTTCATAAAATTTGTATCTTCACTTGTGCAAATATCACTCCACGCTCACCAGTGTATTGTTGACGTCATCCACACCGCATTAATGACATCATTGAAATCTTATTCTGGCGTCATAGCTGAGCATCCACTAGCCCATTTATCAAAGCCTAGCTTCCAGGCTTTGATACAGGCTAATGGACACGCTTGTATCGCGAAGATGAAGATTGTTGATGACATTTGACAGCTAAAGTTTTCTAAGACTGCAGTCTCCCCAATTATGTTTCTAGGATTGTCAGCACCATACCCGTGCTAGTGGGTTTCACCGAAGTGGTAAACGTCTGAGACCTGCATCACTTCGGGCATTTCTTCCACATTAAGCTGACATGCTGCGATATAACTGGAAACTGTCAAAAGCGCCGTTAAACCCAACTCACTCACTCACTAAGACAGCGGTCATGATCAGTGCATTTTTCTAAGGGGGAGAACAAAACAATTAAGAAATAATCATGATAATTGGTAATAAATAAATTATTACACTCGCATGTGTGTCATATTGATTTTACAAACTCGCGTAAGAATTTGTGTATATAGCTGGAATATTGCTGAAAGGCGTTAAGCAACAAACAACATGTTGGACAATGCCAGTTCTTCAAATTCACTGGGGTCACAACACAGGTCTCTGCCATTTCTTCCATTTGTACCATTAGAAAATGAATAATCATGCTTAATTATTTACCACACCCACAATGAAGGCTTATTCTCACTTGAATCTTCCTGCAGGTTACATTGTTGGCAATGAGATTGATGATTCCTGCTCGTACAAAGTGATCCTGAGGCCCAGCGAGTATTTCACAGGAGACACACAGCATGGTAATTATTCTTTCAACGTCATGATCCCGTAGATACAAGTTGCCTTTGTCAGGCGTTTAACTACAGTAATCTGTATTTGGAGCACACTGTACATATGACCTTTTAGGTCGGGGGTACATAGTCTTACCAAGGTTCCGTCCGACTACCCATCCGTCCAAAAACTTTGTCTGCGCAATTTCTCTTAAACTATTCAGTGGATTCATCTCAAACTTAGTACATATAATCTGTGTCATATGGAGAGGTGCAGTCAAAAGAAAAAAATTGTATTGATTAATTTTCCATTTTTTTATGAATTTTTCAAACCCTAACCCTATCCAAGCTATTTAATTTGAAACTACTGACACACTAGGCAGGTCAGGGGTATTAGTGAGCCACGCTCACTTTTGCCCTTGTTCTTTGTTGTTTTGGTTGGTTTGTTGTTTATTCCAGCTATATGACGGTGGTCTGTAAATAATCGACTCTGGGCCAGACAATCCAGTGATCCACACATTTGGGATACGATGACATACCTCAACCAAGTCAGCAACCACCCAATCTGTTAGTCGCCTCTTACTACAAGCCCGGGTTGCTGAAGACCAATTCTAACCTTGAATCATCACAGCACGAAACTGTTATTGACACAGCTTTGGTTTCTTTATTGACATTTAAGCTAGGTTTCTTCACTGCCGCTCAGTTTCTGAAAACAGATGTATCGTGTCGTGTTTGGTGTTAATAAGCACCCCTCTTTGTCAATTTTCTATGTGCCCGGAGCACTTATTACGATGAATACAGTGGGTGTTTTTTTATATAACTGAGTTTACACACTTTAAAAAATTAAAGAAAATATAAAGTTTCAGTTTAATGGTTTTTTATCATGTTTATCACCATGATGATGGCACTTACAGAAATAAATCTGTAAACCATCTGATGAAACAGGAAGACCACAGATTGCACCCTGTGTAGGGAGATTCACTGTAGTTGTGTTTCTGTGTGCAGGGCCAGCCAAGTGCTACAAGAACCTAAAGCTGATCTCTCGTAGTGTGAAGAACCATGTCTGTCTGCCGCTGCTGAAAGACATGAGGACAGGTGATTGTGTCATGTCGTATATTTCACTTGATTATGTGTTTAGTGATGAAATAATGTATTTTCTGAAAAAAGTAAAAATTGATATCTCATGCAAGTGAATTCACACTTTGTAACATTTTCACTTGGGCCACTCAATAAGATATCAACTTGTTCCGGTCACTTAGTGAGATAAAAATTTATTTGGCAAGAAAATTAAATTAAAAAAATACTCTTAATGCTGCAGCACATATTTCAAAATAATTTCTTGTGATGAGTGTTAATTCTCACTCACGCACTCACTCACTCACTCACTCACTCACTCACACACACTTGATCAAAATAACAAAGGCTTGAGAAATCCTACACGTTTTTAGAAATGTCACAACCTCTACATAGAGGCAGTGTTTACTATAAGTCGCGTGTGTAACAACATGATGTATTTTGCAGTGTTGGGGTACCCTGATGGGATAAACCTCCTGTCCTTGACACATGAACTGAAGGTGAGGGTCAAGGTTACGCTGTTGTGCCATGATTGGTAGGGTGTCAAGCAGTGGCATATTTTAATCCTTGATATTGTGCACTTTGATTATCAAATTGAAACCTCAAACATTAAAGTTGTGCACTGTATCTCCGACTGTAGGTTAAGATCATTGTAAGCTACAATCAAAATTTCATGTCATACTGTTAATAATTGATACCCAGTGAATATATATATTGAACAACTGCTTTCTGAAAATGATATTTGTTTGTATTACTCTTCACAATCTCCATCTTCTGTGTTTTGTAAAGGTAACCATAGCAGCATCTTTCTATATAGCCACAAAATGTATACTTGCAGGATATATTTAGGATTTCACAAAAAGCCACTCTTTTTCCCCAAATAGATGCATGTTAAACAATTACCTTTTGACAAACATTGGCCAGTCATACATTTACATGGTATGTTATTGTTATTATCATAGTTTTTTATAATAATTATCATAATGATTATGTCACTAAATCTATAGCCAAATTTCTAGATGTATTCATTCGTATTTCAATATTTTCATAAAACATAGGTAGGATTTTTCTCACAAAGTCCTTTCTCAAACTCACAAGTCCTTGATCCTAAAAGCTTGTACCGTCCAGAAAGAGTGAGTACAGTCATACTGCTTTTAGCGATTGTCCAGCAATATCATTGCAGGTGGAGACCCGAAATGGGATTCAAACAGTATAGGGAATCAAACCCAGATCTTCATCCAACTAGGCTACCACTTGATCATATGACCCCCAGTCACATAAGAGGTGACTTAATGGAACGGATGGTCAGACTTGATGATAGACTTGATTGATAGCGTGTCATCGTACCCTGATCGCATGGATCGTTGCTCATAATATCAATATCAATCACTGGATTGTCTGGTTCAGACTTGATTATATACAGGCCATCATCACATAGCTGGAATATTGATGAGTATGGTGCGAAACACGGAAACAAAAATCCAAACAAATACTGTTAGCGGTGCTCACTTGTATACTGAGTGACATTACTCTGTATAAACCGCAATTCATTTAATCTCATTAAAATCAGATTTTAGTTCGTGTTACTGCTGAACAAAGAACTGAGGACATCCTATTATGGGTCACTTCAGAACGATCTTTCATCTGACCAATCAGAGCGTCGCTTACCAGATCAGGAAAGTGACAGTTAGAATGTGTTTTCTGATCATTCAACCTCGAAATATTAACATGGGGTATTCCGAACTGCATTTAAGAGACTTTCCATAGCATTGGAAGTACTGCCATACAATCTCGGCCATCTATTAGACATTCTAGAATATTTTTTTTCTTCAGTTATTACAATTTGAATGGATATTTTTCAAAGAGTTATCGGGAATGGATATCGCCAGTTTCAAACCAGTGCTGTAAAGCTCTTCTTGTTCATCATTTCATTGGTTGTTTAAAGTTCGTGAAAGGTTGTTCTGACATTACCTATAATAGGATGTCTTCAGATCTTAGTGTTGTAGCGAGAACTAAGATTTGATTTTAATGAAATGCAATTAATTAAACCAGGAGATTTCAGTGGGAGCGCTACTATTTGGATAATCCTGGTTTCTCTGTAATTGTCATGCTTATACAACGTCTGAGACCTGCATAACTTTGGGCTTTCCTCCTACATTAAGTGGACACACCACGATATAACTGGAATATTGTTAAAAGCAGCGATAAAGACCCAACTCACTCACTCACTGTTATGTTTGTAGGATTAACAGTAATAGCAGAAACAGTTGTGTACAGCTGGTTAAAATCAGAAGATAGATAAATGGGATTAACATATCAGCCAGTGAAAATATTTGTCTTGCACCCTGTGCAGAGTGCTTTAGGCCACGCCCCCAAATAGTTTTTTAGAAGCCGATTATGGAGCATGGGATTTCAGCACTTTAACTTTGACATTTAAATACTTTGTATGTATATTATGATCTTTTGTCATTTGGAAATTGACTAAATGTGTCTAGGATAATTGATATTCACAACAAAATCGCCGTCTTTTTTTTCAGTTTACTCGCCCTTTTATAGGGTCATGTAAATAGGCACATGACTTAATGTTTCCCTGCAGTCAAGGTCATTGGTGTCATAGTGGTTGATGCCAGAAAGCATGGTCATCATCACACAAGCAGGACTTCGCTCAACAATGTTCAGTCAAAATGTTTTTTCCTTTGTCTCCTAGTTGAAGATTCTTGGTTTCCTGGACAGTGCGAGTCTCCTAAAGATGGACAGAACATGTCAACACTTTCATTCCCTTGCCAGAGACAGGGCTGTCTGGCGGCGGCGCTACCTCCGCGACTTTGGAAGTGAGTATCATGTGTCCCTTGTTGCCCTTTCCATACCTTAAGCCTGGTAAGCACTTAGTGTCTCAGATAGTATACCAGGGTATACTAGACTTCCAGGGAAAGATTAATTTTAAACATTTCAACACTGTACCCAGTCGGGGATATCACCACCGTTCTTAACGTCAAAGACCTGCATCTCTTTCCTCAAAGTTGAAAGTGGCTTTAAACCAACTTCCCCACTCAGGACATGTTGGTTAGGAAAGCTTTTATTATGAATAGAACAGTGGGAAGTGAAATAAGAAGTGAAGCTCTCACATTAGAAGAGAGTTACGTTACATGTTTCTGTGTGTGATACAAGTGGTGATTGTGTGAACACAGCATGGGGTACTGGCCATCATTGAGCACCGCAACTGTAGCACTAGGACAGTCTTTAAGCTTAGGCAAGACTTTTTTCTTTCTTTTTATGTGCGGATTTTAGTCCAACAATTTGGATCCGGGGGTCGAAAAAAATTAAAATACATTTTACTTATTTCTGGTCGTTGGTTTAAAAACAGAACTGTTTTTCATCTATCTTTTAATTTCACATTTTAATTTATTGGAGTCAGTGGATTCATAAACCAAGTTTAAACAAAAGTCTGGCTTTATATGTTTGGCAGTTCTCGACAAATTCTGCGGTAAAATTATCAAAATTCTGCAGTAAATATGCAGTGAACACATAACCATTTGCCCTTTGTTAACACTTATTTGTTTTTTTTACAAATTTGAGTCTCTAGCATTTAGACGTTTCAGATTTGGTTTAACATGTCAACTATATGTAGTCATGATACCACGAGAATGTTTAAAATTGACCATTATATATTTTAAATTCAGTTTTATTTTAGGATTCATATTTTGTTCATTTGAATCACATGTTAAATGTTTTGGGATCATTTGAGTGCAAAATTCAATAGAAAAGCTTGAAAATAATGAAAATTGGTGTTAAAATATTGAAAGGACAAATTCTGCATTTTTTCTGCAATTCCATGGTAAGTTACATTTTCTGCAAATCTTTTGGCGATCACAGAGTGGCAGAATTCGCCTGAGACTGGTTTAGTAGTGGGATTATTGAAATGGGGCCTAGTTTCCCAGGATTGTTGTATGAGCCGACTCATGTGGGGATTAGACTGGAAGCAGTCCCTGTTTCCAAAATGAATTTTAAAAAATAGGTCATATATTACATTATTTTCTGGTGAATGGTGTATTTTAAAAGCATTGTAAATATCTGTTTCAAGTTATTATTTTCTTGTTTGTTTGAGTGTTGAAGGTGATGTTTTGTATTTTAAGATGATAGTCATGACCTGGCTGTGTGTCTCTGTATCTTGGTGTTTGTCGTTGCTCGTGAAGTCGGTTACATCTCATTCTGCGTATAGTCCCAAAGTGCCTCTGTTATATTTCCCATTGTGGCTACATTGTTTTGGTGAGCATTTCTTCTTGTAAGACATAAACAGGTACCTAGTGATGATAATTCATGCAGCCATTTTTTTAACATCAGACACATGGGACTGTTGGCAAAGTTGAAGTGTAGGCAGAGAAAAGCGTAGGCACAGTGGGCGCATAGGCAGAGTGGGAGCATAGGCGGAGCAGGAGCATAGGCACAGTGGGAGCGTAGGCGGAGTGGGAGCATAGGCAGAGTGGGAGCATAGGCGGAGTGGGAGCATAGGCAGAGTGGGAGCATAGGCACAGGAGGAGCGTAGGCAGAGTGGGAGCATAGGCAGAGTGGGAGCATAGGCGGAGTGGGAGCATAGGCGGAGTGGGAGCATAGGCGGAGTGGGAGCATAGGCAGAGTGGGAGCATAGGCAGAGAAGGAGCATAGGCACAGGAGGAGCGTAGGCAGAGTGGGAGCATAGGCAGAGAAGGAGCATAGGCACAGTGGGAGCATAGGCGGAGCGGGAGCATAGGCAGAGTGGGAGCATAGGCAGAGAAGGAGCATAGGCAGAGTGGGAGCTTAGGCACAGTGGGAGCGTAGGCAGAGTGGGAGCATAGGCGGAGTGGGAGCAAAGGCAGAGCGGGAGCATAGGCAGAGTGGGAGCCTAGGCAGAGAAGGAGCAAAGGCGGAGTGGGAGCAAAGGCAGAGTGGGAGCGTAGGCAGAGAAGGAGCGTAGGCACAGTAGGAGTGTAGGCACAGTGGGAGCATAGGCGGAGCGGGAGCATACGCAGAGAAGGAGCATAGGCACAGTGGGAGCGTAGGCACAGTGGGAGCATAGGTGGAGTGGGAGCATAGGCAGAGTGGGAGCATAGGCGGAGAATGAGCGTAGGCACAGTAGGAGTGTAGGCACAGTGGGAGCATAGGCGGAGTGGGAGTGTATGCAGAGAAGGAGCATAGGCACAGTGGGAGCGTAGGCACAGTGGGAGCATAGGTGGAGTGGGAGCGTAGGCACAGTAGGAGCGTAGGCACAGTGGGAGCATAGGCGGAGTGGGAGCGTAGGCAGAGAAGGAGCATAGGCACAGTGGGAGCGTAGGTAGAGTGGGAGCATAGGCGGAGTGGGAGCAAAGGCAGAGTGGGAGCGTAGGCAGAGAAGGAGCAAAGGCGGAGTGGGAGCAAAGGCAGAGTGGGAGCGTAGGTAGAGAAGGAGCATAGGCACAGTGGGAGCGTAGGCAGAGAAGGAGTGTAGGCACAGTAGGAGCGTAGGCACAGTGGGAGCATAGGTGCAGTTCGAGAGTAGGCAGAGAAGGAGCGTAGGCACAGTGGGAGCATAGGCGCAGTGGGAGCATAAGCAGAGAAGGAGCGTAGGCACAGTGGGAGCATAGGCAGAGAAGGAGCGTAGGCACAGTTGAAGCATAGGCGCAGTTGGAGAGTAGGCAGAGAAGGAGCGTAGGCACAGTGCAAGTGAAGACACAGTGGGAGCATTGTTTTCCTGACGTCATGTTTAGTACTGAATGTATACAGGCAACACCTACAGGTATGATGGGGATTTTCACTTATAAGTGCAATTCTGTCATTACAGGCCGAGGGAACAATTCCTTGTCCTTGAACTGGTATGAGGTAAGTGATTTGTGATCTAAGGTAGGTTTATATACGCCACACTCAGCAATATTCCAGCTATATGACAGTGGTCTGTAAATAATCAAGTCAGGAACAGCCTGACTACCCGATCCTGTTAGTCGCCTCTTACGACAAGTATAGTCGGCTTTTACGGCAAGCTTGGGTTGCTGGAGACCTATTCTACCCCGGATCTTCACGGGATATGTGGTGTAAGGAAGGTGATATGTGATGATGGCTACAGATGATAGCAGTTGACAGGGATGTACCACCCTTCTACACAGCTGTTAGATATGACTTATCATGCACAAGAAAATACAGCCATGTCATGCAAAGATAACTTGTAGATTGGTCTTAAAGTTGGTCAGTGGTCACCCTTTAGTGCTTTAAAAGACGATTACGGTATAACTAATACAGGTTTTTGAACAGACGACTACTGCATTGTTTGAAGGCTACAGATCGGTTCATATTCAAACTTGGTAAATACACAGAAGAATCAATATCAGATATTAAATCATGGAAATGTCCAAACGCCATTTGTTTCTGTCACTGGTTAGGGATCATGGCCAGATTTAGCCATGTTTTAGTCCCTTCTCCTTCTTGAAGTTCATGTTTATGCTGTGGTGTATTTGCCAGCTGTACAAAGCACAGTACCGGAGTCGCAAAGAGGCGAGGAAGGCGATGCGAGAAATGACGATTATTACCCCAGGACAGGTGTGGATGCAGCAGCGCCCCCATCACCCATTTGCCCCCATGGCTCCCTACAATGGGGGGATTGTGGGTGGGGACTACGACCTCAACCCTCCCTTCCAAGGTAGGAAGTGTACAAGATTCCAGATCAAAGAAGATTCTGCAAACTTGTGAAAGAGCAAACTTAAATTAGTGCTATTGTTATTATCAAATTTTAATGCATACTTTTTAAGTATATAGAGATTATTAACCAAGTCTGTTTCCATAACATCAATATCATGTCTTAGAAATAAAAAAATTATATTATGCAAGCCTTTCTACATTTTTTTTTCCTAATATTGATATTGACGATGCAAAAACACCAAGGTTAATGATCTCTTTATCATTAAATATTATTCTTAAAATAATCAATGTTTTGTAAGTATTTTCACTCAATTAAGAAACTGCATATGAATAGTGTGTGAGTGAATCGCCCCATCTGTAATGTAGTGCCAAATGATATGCCGCCATGTTTGTCAACAGAAACAAGCAGACATTGCATCGATGTTTGGATCTTAAAAGTATCCCTCCTAGGTGACGTTTGCATATTTACTGGATTGTGATACCAAGTTTATCAGACAGACTTATTGCATGACACTATCCAAGTAATCATATGACTGTCATAAGTCGACAATGTTCTGCTCAACAGGTGTTCCCGATCCACTCGGGAGACGAGGGCGGAACCCACTGCAGCCTCTACTCCCCCAACCGAGATTTGACCCCTTTGGACCCCTCTCTGACCACAACATATTCCCCGGTCCAAGAGGGGGGAGGAGAGGGGGTCGGGGTGGCGGCGGGGGGTTGGGGAGGGGAAGAGGATGGATGGGTGGATTTGGGGGTGGTCCTGGGATGTTCTAAAGAGCTGAGTAGATTTGAAATGCAAAGGATAAATGAATTGGTTCCTGTCAGTATGGACTTTGAATTTCAAGAGAATATATGAGGGTCCTGATGAGGGAGTCACAAGTCACAAGTTGATTTTGGCAGCTAGTCTAGTAAGATTCTGTTGGTCTAGAAAGGTCAGCTAATAACTGTCCATTATGCTATCATAAAATCTAATGTTTGTTTGATTGTTTCTTGTTTATGCCGCACTCAGCAATATTCCAGCTATATCATGTCGGTCTGTAAATAATCGAGTCTGGACCAGACAATCCATTGATTGACATCATGAGCATCAATCTACGCAAATGGAATACAATGACATGCATCATCCAAGTTGGCGAGCCTGACCACTAGATCCCATTAGTCGCCTCTTATGACAATCACAGTCGCTTGTAATGGCAAGCATGGGTTGCTGAAGACCTGTTCTAATGACCTAAATCTAACGAAAATAATGTAAAATGATGTAAAAAGAAGGACCTTATTCGGGCGTTTAGACGTTTAGACTCAAAGATATTCACACAGATTGCAGCGGTCAGAGTAATTTTGGCCTTTTGCTAGCAGTCAGTATTTGTTCAGCTTAGTTGTTTAAAAAACAAACACAAACAGCGGACAAGCTGTCAAGTTGAATTTACAAAGCAAAAATAATATCTGTCTGTAGGAAAACATGGTGACAGCTAGTTCTGCTTTCGTGTCATTACTGGAATTTTTGTTTTTCACAATCATTGACTGTTGTTTTTTTGTGTCATAAGATATGTTATGCTGAACTTTTATGACATTTTATAGCTGGTTGTTTCAACTGCCCTCCTTCGTCCGACAGTTAATGGAAGACCTCAGGCTTTTGCAAATGATAATGCCCTGAAAATAGCGTTAACCCTTATAATAGCACAATTACAATAAAAAGTAAAGTCTTAATATACACTAAGCAAGTTTTATGGACACTTTTTGTTAATCTTTTATGATAAAGTTTGACTCATCTGATGTTTATAATAGTTTTTTTAGTGTTTTAACAGTATCCTATCAGGACTCTCTTATATATCTACAAATCATGAATTTGTATTTTGTGTCAAACAGACTGCAAGGCTAACAATTGATGCAATCCCAAAACACTTTGTGTGTAGATGTATGTGAATGATGATCCATGGCCTTCTGTGTTGATTGGCCCAGTCAGAGGCTGGGGTAACATGTCAAGGAGACAAACACTACCCGGTACCCCAGAGTACGTCTCAACTGTACAGTGTATATTGGTCTGTGTAACAGAGGAACTGTGTCTCTTCTATAGTTTGGCTTTTCCAATCAACATTTGATGGAAACATGTTCAGACATGTTTGTGCCTGTACATAAATAAAACATAAAACTTAAGAGGCTCATTTGTCATGTTTGTCTGGATAGAAATTTATTTTCATACAAAAGCGCTCTACATGAATTTAATATAAAACAGTCTAGTTCTCATTTTTGCTTCCAGTTCATGTAGTAGGTGAGTGAGTGTGTTAGGTTTAAGCTGCTTCGAGGTGGTGAGGGGAGGTGAAATGGGGTTGAACAATGCGTTCAAGTAAGAAACCGTACAACTTTATGGATAGCAACTTCTGGTTTATGCATACAGCGTCATTTCGGTGTAGATTCTTACCACTCCAGCTTGATAATGCTGTAAGTTTCTACATCGAAATGTCGCTATATGCAATAAACCAGAAGTTGTTATCCATAAAGTTGTACGATTTCTTAATCACCAACTTCTAGAATGCCAATCAAACAGATCGCTTTCGTAGGGAGTCCGGGGTCCAGACCCCCCCCCCCCCCCCCCACCCCCTTTTTTTAAAACCAAATGTATGTTGTGGGCAGTAAAATTATCTAAGGGAGGATTTTGATATTTTGGACCCCTCCCTTTTAAAATGCTGCATCCACCCTTGTGTTCATAGTTATATGTTTTCCACAGTGCTAACGCAATGAGATACCATACCTAAGTTCACATGGATACCCCACTCAGAAAATTAACACAAGCCAATCAGTCCTTAATGATTAACGCTAAGGTGGATAACTGCAAGAAGTGTCTTTTAACCTCTTTGGGTTTGAGGAACTTGTTGATTGAACCAGACCTTCAGCTCTCCCGTCAGAGACCGCCTCCCTGGTCTAGTGGTAAAGCGTTCGCCTGGAGAGAGGAAGGTCCGGGGTTCGATCCCCGGCTGCGTCATACCAAAAGACGTTAAAAGATCGTACTTATCTTGTCTGGCGCTCGGCATTAAAGGGCTAAAACAAGGACTGGTCGGCTCGGAGTCAGTATACCGTTTCTGAGTGTGGTATCCATGTTAAACTGCGGCATGATATCTCAGTGTGCTAGCGCTATCAATCGGCATCAGTCCGGACTAGTACATGCAGCCACACACACACATACACACACGTCGTTATATAAGCGTAATAATCTTGGACGCAACGTTAAACCCAATTTCACCTCACCTTCACCCGCTCTGTCAGCTGGAGGTGGTTAGGTCGCTCAGCACATTGTTCAGTTATTGTTGGTTTGTCAGTTGATGGTGGGAGGAGAGCCCAAAGGGAAGCAGGCTGTAAACATTTATCAGGTGGTGAAATCTACAGCATGGGTATCAAGCTCACAAGCCTGGGATCACAGTCAATACAAACCTAGGATTTGAACCCACGATCAGTAAATGCTGGCATGGTTCAGGATGCAAGTGTTTTTGTTCGTTTGTTATTTAACACTGCACTCAGCAATATTACAGCTATATGACGGCGGTCTGTTAATAATTGAGTCGGGACGATGAGCATGCCATTGGGATATGATGACATGCATCAAGCAAGTCAGTGAGCCTGACCATCTGATCCTGTTAGTGGGATAATATGAAATTTCACAATGCAAAAGGAAACGGGAAGGTCAATTTACAAATTGGATAGGAATCCTGTGAGTGACTTTTAGAAAGTGTACTCCAATGCATGGATCATCTGAGTTTTAGCAGACCGCCTCCGTGGTCTAGTGGTAGAGCGTCCGCCCGGAGAGCGGAAGGTCCGGGGTTCGATCCCCGGCCCTGTCATACCAAAAGACGTTAAAAGATGGTACTTCTTGTTATCCTGTCTGGCGATCGGCATTAAGGGTTAAAGCAAGGACTGGTCGGCTCGGAGTCAGTATACTGTGTCTGAGTGGGGTATTCATGTTAAACTGCGGCATGGTATCTCAGTGGGCTAGCACTATAAATCGGCATCAGTCCGGTCTAGTACAAGCAGCCACATACACACACACACACACACACACACACACACGCGCGCGCGTACATGCACGTCGCTATGTAAGTGCAATAATCTTGGACGCTATGTTAAACCCAATTTCACCTCACCTGAGTTTTAGCATCATTGGCCATGGGATTGCAGAGAAATGATGAAAATCCGAAAGACAATTCACCATTACATAATTATTCACTTAAAAAATAGCACTGCAGGTTTGGGTGCATTACCTGCAGCAAACATGGGGTACTCATGCCACACAAAAAGATTGATCATAATGTTTGCAAATGAAAGGCTGTGTTTTGTTTGTGATTGGATGTGGATGTGATGTGTGATCCGATTTGCATGTGAGATGACGTACTTTACATGTGTGATTGAGTGTATGTTTGAGAAGATTTGCTTTACGTGTGTGATTTAGTGTAAGTGTTTATGGATGAAGAAGAAGTGTTTGGGTGTAACTGTTTTTGTATGAGAGGATGTGTTTTGGTTTGTTTGTTTCTTTGTTTGTTTCTTTGTTGTTTAACGCCGCACTCAGCAATATTCCAGCTATATGACGGCAATTTGTAAAATAATCGAGTCTGGACCAGACAATCCAGTGATTGACATCATGAGCATCGATCCACGCAATTGGGATCGATGAAATGTATCAACAAAGTCAGCAAGCCTGACCACCCGATCCCGCTTGTCACCTTTTACGACAAGCAGTCGCCTTTTACGGCAAGAATGGGTTGCTGGAGACCTATGTTTTGGTGCACATGTTATAACCCCTTTTGGTCTTTTTTGGCTATATGCTTCTGATCTGGTGCTCATTTCAAAATTAACAATATTCTTGCAATATTACAACAGGAGACACCAGAAACGGATTTCACTCATTGTACCTTGGTGGGGAATCGAACCCTGGCCCTTGGCGTGACAAAGATTTAATGCAAAGTTTTGGTTTTTTACCAAATCTGAAACAATTACGGTTTGCAACAGATAAAAGACTTCTGTAAGTGTTCAAATGGTTTAATTTGCCATATTGACTTCAGAAATGCGTGATTTCATAAAAAAAAATACATGAACAAGCCAAAATGTCAATTTACAAATCAATAACGTGTGTGTCCACCTCTGGTTGCCATGCAAGCAAAACATCTTCGTCTCATTGAATGGACCAGGCGTCGCACAAAGTCCTGTGGGATATCTGTCCATAAGTGCTGGAGCATGTTTAGAAGTTCTTGGAGTGTCTGTGGAACACGTGGTGGACGTCGAAGGCGCCGATCCATCTCATCCCACATGTGCCCGATTGGTGAGAGATCAGGGGAGCGAGCCGGCCAGGGGACGACATTCACGTTGTTTTGTTGAAGAGAATCCTGAATATGATATGAGGCCGGGCGTTGCCGTGTTGAAATGTAATGCCTGGGCCATGACGACGCAAAAACGGTAGAACAACAGAGCCGATGATCTCGTCGCGGTAGCGCTGTCCATTGAGATTTCTATCAAACGGGTCCTCTGTCTTGCTGTAATCCCACCCCATACCATAACCCCCGAACCGATCTTCTTCCATGACACAATGATTGACGTAACGTTCACCTCGACGTCGGTACACTCCAATCCGTTCATCGCTGTGGCTGAGGTGAAAACGCGACTCGTCAGTGAATAGAACTTGTCCAAAATGCAAGGCCGTCCAGCGTAGACGCTGTCTTCACCACTGTAGACGTGCTTGACGGTGGTTTCCTGTCAAAATGGGACGTCTGGCGTGTCTTCTGGCGACAATCCCTGCACATCTGAGGCAACGACGTACGGTTTGTGAAGATATTCGTCGAAGGCCTTGAATGCTTCTTGCAGTCACTGTTGCTGGCTGGAATCGATGTCGTAGGTGTGTTGTTCGAATCCAGTTGTCTTGTCGATTTTTGGTTACGCGTAGCCTGCCACTCCGAGGATGGTTGCTGACTGCATTTGTCTGTTGCCGACGTTGCCATAAACACCAAATGGTGTTTCTGTTGACGTTAAATTGTCTTGCAACATCACGTTCACTCGATCCTGCTTCAAGAATACAAATGGCTCGCAGACGCTCATTTTCGGACAGGCATGGCATT